GTTCTGAGTTGTGTGGAGGAGTAATTGAGGCATTTTATGTCTGGCACCTCCTGCTATGGTTTAAGTAGGATAACGCTCCTGAGCCGGGCAGGTGTTCAACCTCCAGGGTCAAAAGGTACGGGGCAAGCAGGTAAAGCTGCCATCTGCAGCACCAACATCCCATATGGGCGTCGGTTAGGGCCCTGGCTGCTCCACTTCCTGTCCAGCTCCCTGCTAATGTGCCTGAGAAAGCAGCAGAGGATGGTCCAGGGGCTTGGGCCCATGGACCCATAAGGAAAACTCAGAAGAAACTCAGTGGATGGAAGATCTCTCTCTCTCTCTCTCTCTCTTCCCTCTCCCTCTCCCTCTCCCTCTCATTGCAACTCTGACTTGCAAATGAATAAATAAATTTTTATAAAGAACGGTAAGAGTACTAAAGTTGCACACTTAGTTCAATCATGGTGTGTAAGAGTGAACCTAGTATGAAGTCCTTGGTCATTGGGGCATACCCTCAGAATGTAGTTCTTAGGAGAGGACTGGTTATAAAGCTGAGCTGGGCCCTGCCACTTCCTGCTTCCTGACCCCTGATGGGATCCTCCTCCAGACCCAACAATGGCTGAACCAATGGGACCTATCCACAACCGGAAGCCATAGCGCTGGAACGCGAACGCGAGCTGTGTGGAATTACTTCCCTTTTGAAGCACATCTCCTTTGTTTGTAAACAGCCTGCCTTAGATATTTTGTTACAGTAACAAAAAGATGGCTAATGTATGTCTTACTTCTTAAATGATGTGAAAGAAAAATTCGTGAGTTGAGACTGAGAGAAAAGACTTGAATAAACATAAGGAGGTTTGAAAAGTCTAACATGATTGATATAGGGGACAGGTCAGTTAATAATGGATATTGAAATTACATAAAAATCATTGATCATCAAATAATTTTTACAGTTTTTTAAGCTGAAGGAATGTTAAGGCTACATAAATACTGGGTAACAGGAATTATTAGTGCTAACTATCTGCACATTTATGAAATGCCTTCTCAATGTTTAAGCTGTAAGGACTGAAATATGGGATCACGATACCGATTGAGGGTTGCACCACTTGCAGAGAAGTCACAGCTAGTTGATATTCTACAAAGGCAGTCAGCCAAGTAGCAGAGTCTAAAGAAGAAATTACGATTGGAAGTTGGTCACTGGATTGACATAGACGGGAGACATTCATAGAGACCTGATATGCACACAGAGGCAGACAGAGATAGGAGGAAAGTACTGTATTTGGGTTTTTTCACAAATCCGAAGTCCAGCATAGGACTAGTGGAAGTGATCATCTTACATTAGGTGATGGGAAGCACTTCTGTTGTAGTAGAACATCCCACAAAATAAGTCATCCCTTTCATGAAATGCCAGAGGGACCTAATGATATTACAAGTCACATAAAACACAGCCGTACCCATGCACACACATACACACGATTTACACTTATTTATATTTAGTGTTTTTATTATGTAGATACTAAATGTTCCATTATCATATTGCTATGTTGACTATAACTTATTAACCAAGTTATGTTTTCCCTTTTTAGTTTTGCTTTCTTTGAGCTCTTATTTTCCAGTTGGTACACCGAATGAAGAATTGCTATGTTATTCTCACTGTTACTGTGGTAATGAGATAGAGTGCACGCTAACAAAATAATCAAAGTTGATGATAGCACTTCTGTGTTCAAAGGTAATTTTGTGATTTTTAAACCACAAATCTGTTGTATAGGCAATAGATTATTGCAAAGCGAGGTTTTAAGGAATGGAAAGACATTTCTTTTTCCAGACTTCTAATCACAGCTACATCAGTCCTGGAAAATTTTATTGTTGTGCTGTGATCTTTGCTCCCCAAAGTTATGAAAACTAAATCTAAAAAGAGCATAGGGTTAGAAATAGCCCTGGCAAGGATATAGTGCCCTCCGTTGCAAAATGTGGAAGCCAGGCTTTGAAAAGGAGTCAGAGAACTTATTCCCTGCAAGTAGGTCTGTACAGAATATGAGGTTGTCCCAAATGAGGTACAATTTCAAGGACACTGTTCTCCCAGTGCTTGTATTTTGGAATTTTTCATTATTAGGATTTGAATTTTACTCCTAATAAATCTTACATCTTCGGTTTAGTACTTCAAATATAAAAAAAGACAGTTTGAAACTTGGATTCCATACAAAACCATATAAGTAATTAGCACTGCTCCGTCTTCCACGTCTGATACATTTATTTAGATGGACAACATACCAAAAAAAAAAAAAAAAAACTTTTTCAGAATCTAAAGACAGACTTGCTGCTTGTAAAATAAAATAAAAGATAACTTCATGCTTTTATTCATTCCAGGGGGTGTGCCAATCATTTTTAGCATGTAGAAGAAAACAGGAACTGTGAAATTTGGAAGAGTTCACTTCTAATAATACATGCTAAGGACCAACAATGAAAACTCAGAAAAAAAAACCAGTTCTTTTAATCCATGGTATATTGAGAATTATCTAAGGAATGACAAATCTGAGAAGAGAAAAATTGTAATAAGCATATTAGCTGTCATCTATGAAGCATTATAAAGCGAAAAGCCGATGTTTGTTTGCTTAATATTTATTTATTTATTTGTGATGCAGAGTTACAGACAGTGAGAGCGAGATACAGAAGGAAAGGTCTTCCATCTGCTGGTTCACTCCCCAAATAGCTGCAATAGCCAGAGCTGTGCCAATCCAAAGCCAGGAGCCAGGAGCTTCTTCTGGATCTCCCACGCGGGTGCAGGGGCCCAACCACTAGGGCCATCTTCTACTGCTTTCCCATATGCATTAGCAGGTAGCTGTCTCAGAAGAAAAGCAGCTGGTGCCAGCTCACTGGGCTAATCCTCTGCCTGTGGTGCTGGCACCCTGAGTTCTAGTTCTGGTCAGGGCGCTGAATTCTGTCCCAGTTGCTCCTCTTCCAGTACAGCTCTCTGCTGTGGCCTGGGAAGGCAGTGGAGGATGGCCCAAGTGCTTGGGCCATGCACCTGCACGGGAGACCAGGAGGAAGCACCTGGCTCCTGGCTTCGGATCAGTGCAGCGCACCGGCCGTGGCGGCCATTTGCGGGGCCAATGGAAGGAAGATCTTTCTCTCTGTCTCTCTCTCTCACTGTCTAACTCTGCCTGTCAAAATAAAAAAAAAGCAGATGCGAACTGGGTCTACAATCGGCGCCCATATGGGATGCCAGCACCACAGACAGAGGATTAACTTACTGTGCCACAGCACCAGCCCCTGATGTTTGTTTTTAAAAAGCATGGACCAACATGTATATGATTGCTTGAGGAAAAACATACAATGTTATTAACACAGGGAAAAGGCAGCACAAAACTCCATAATGCAGCCTTTTCATAAACATTGTGTTTATGTCTTATTTATCACTTTTACATTTTTATGTATCATGTTATCAGTGTTTAAACTTCTCATCTCTACCAAAAATTCCCTCTTCTTCTCTGTGATCTGAGGACTGGCACCTTCCAGCCCAGAGCTCTGCTGGGATGCTGGGGCTCTTTTCATGGGGATTTGTAAGGGGGAAACAATTTTCATAAGGATCTAAGGTGTTCCTTGCTTTTCTCATTCTCATTGTCTCGAGAGTACATATGCAGTGATGTCTTCACAGACCTGCATGAGATATGGGAGCAGAAAAACCAATGCAAATCTGGTGATCCAGGTGCTTTCTATAAAACAGATCTGCAAGGACATCCAGCTACGTCCGCCTTGGACCAACCTTCTTTTCTTTCTGAGAGCAGTTATTTTTCATGAAATAGGCTCCTTTTGCTAATGTCGGTTGATTGCTGTTTTTGTTAGGGTGACTCATCTTCTCTTTTGATAGCATCCAAGCTAACAAAAAATGTCAGGTCCTCAGTAATTTTGAGTTCAAAAAAGCGTCCTGAGTTCATAGAGAGAAACCCTCCAGCAGGGCACATTTCTACATTGCTGCCCCGTGTCCTGTTGGTTCTGCAGGGGAGCAGGTGAAAGACGAGGAGGAAGGGAAGGGGTGGTTCCTGCCAGCACTGCCGCTTCAGGAAGCGTCTCCTGCATGTCAGTAGCGGCAGGTCTGATTTTGCAGCTGCATTGCGTTTCCACCCCACACAGGCCCACTAGGCTCCAGCTACGTGATCTGGCAAGCCCATGGTGATAGCCACTTCAGTTCCATTTCCGCATCTACTCAGGCAGGCTGAGCTTCCAGTTACAGGAATGTGGTGATGCACTCTTCTCAGAGATCTGGATTCCAGGACTCCAGGCCCCTCCTTGACCACCAGAGGCCACAGCTAGCCTGGACGCGCCCCTCCACAGACCGCTGCTCCGAGAACTGTGTCCCCCCCCCCCCACAAGGCCCTTTCTCTGGGCTGCTTCTGTGTTCTCTGCTAACTCAATCCTCCAATGCCAACTGGCCATGTTCTGTCTTGTATCCTTTTGCAGACTATGATGGAATTTTTGTTTTTCTGAGTAGATGGAGATTGATGGAATTAGCAAAAGGTATGAATGTTTTTGTACAGCTATAAAACGCCACCCACAAGGACAGAACCAACCATCTCTATGGTGACAAAAATTTGAAGTATTTAAGAGAACAATCAAACTCTGTTCTGAGCATATAAGCCAAAACGAGGTAAAAATATGCTGGTTATGTGCACGCTGGATAGCGAATATTTTCTAGACATAATTTATGTTTGACTACATTTTCAAACATATTGATTCAGACATTCATGATAGCAATTTCCCCAAATGTAATGGAGATATCTCTTAAAATTGCTACCTAAACATAGGCTTCCAAGACAAGTGATAATGATAACATTATGTTTCATTGATGCTTAGTTATTAGTCTATTGGAGATGTCTTAACTGATTAACACAATCTTAAGTGTGGCACTATACACCTCACCCCCAAGAAAAATTGTAAGCAAATTTTCCTATATCTTTGATCATAACTTGATACTGCTTTAGCTTTCGTGCTGTTTACTTCATATAAAGTTTTAAAGTAAATACACTTACCACCCGAGAGGAGCGCAGGCTTGGTTTTTATCATTGGACTAGAATGAGGGAATCTGTTGCTAAATGACATGAAAAGGTGTGCAGTGAAATCCTCAGGAAGCTCGGCTTCCAGGAAAGTCTTCATGAATAGCTTGAAACCTTCGAAATCTATTGTCTGAAAAAAAAAAAGTTAAACATACATCTGAAGACTCAGCCAAATGTTAAAAGCTGTGTTCAAATTCATTAGCAGTGGAAATGACCTCAAACAATTTTTATAGCCAAGTCTACAGAAACAGGGTACGTATTTGAGAAACAATTGGGCAATATTTGATTGACACTGGTGATGGGATATATGTCTTTCTTGCAGTTGTGTAGCAGAAAGAACAGGATCTATAAGACCTTAGTTTTTTTTTTCCTCTTTGAAACTTATTTTCCCTCTCTGTACATGGGGAATAATACTCTCAATTCCACAGAGTTGTTTTGCTGATTAAATCGGGTGATTAATGCAGACACAAGCCAGTGCAGAGTTGCACCCATTCACACAGTAGACACCCAGAGAGTGAAAATATTCCTAGCTCTTTTCCTCCTCATTCATCATTGTCCTTATTTTTTTTGAAAAGTGCATGAAGTAGTTAACATGAACACTTCAGGGGCCAGTGCTATGGTACAGCAGGTTAAAGCCCTGGCCTGCAGCACCAGCATCCCATATGGGCAGCCATTTGAGTCCTGGCTGCTCCACTTCTAATCCAACTCCCTGCTAATGCACCTGGAAAAGCAGTAGAGGATGGTGCAATACCTAGGGCCCCTGCACTCACATGGGAGACCTGGAAGAAGCTTCTGGCGCCTGCCTTTGGATCATCTCAACTCTGGCCATTGTAGCCATTTGGGGAGTGAACCGGCACATGGAAGACCTCTCTCCCTTTCTCTACCTCTCTCTGTAACTCTTTCAAATAAATAAATAAATATTAACAAAACTTCAATTAAGCACCAACATCAACTGATATAACTTTCCAAAATTCCAAGAAACCTGTTTCAAGATCCTTACTTACATACTCCCTGTGACTCCATACAGAACTGTAAATGATAAGCACTCATTTGGAGAGAACTTTTGTGGTTTTGAGAATGCCCACGTCTGCTTGGGGGAACGGAGATGGAAGCTGCCTGCTAACCACAATCAGGATGAGAGGGTTTCTCAGGCATAACCTGCAGAGCTCATTCTCCCAGGACATGAGGTCAGTGGGACAGAATCTGTCTCTTGCCTGGGAACTTGAGGACAAGTGTATAGGAGCTTTGGGGACAAAGGCCAAATATGTATGACTGTACTGCATTTGGCTATAATCCCCCATGATTGCAAAAGCAACAACGCAGGAACGCTTCCTGGAAAAGAGACAGTGAGAGACAGGCATATGGAGTTGTATTGGGTACTCTCCAGGAGAGCTTTTGCAAGGTCTGGACTCACAAAGCAAGCTGGAATAGAGTCCCAAGTGTGCTGACCAAGATGAGCCTCACGGGAGACCTGGAGGGTGCCTTTGTTTTATTCCTTTTAATGCATTGAGTTGAAACTAAAAATAGAATGAAAATGAAATTTGTCAGGCTAATGTTCTTAATTTTGTTCAACTTCCTGGCAGGTGAAACTAAAATTAATTCCTTAAACTGTTATTGGGGAATAGATAAAATTTGCATTTCTAATGTAATAATATTTGGGGACAAGGATGGAGAATGACCAATTTTATTGTTATATCATTTTGGGAAAAAAACCTAAAATGGAATAGGACATTCAGGGATATCATTAGGGACAGGAAGATTTTTGTAGATTACATCATATGTTAATCAAGTAGGATTGTTTCTTTACCTGAAGCAGGATTACTTTCTTTACCTAATATAATCTCAAGCAATAAAAAATGAAACCAAAAACTTCACTAAGCATATCAATAGTTCCAAGACTTTGTACATTTTTTTAAAGATTTATTTATGTTATTTGAAAGTCAGAGTTATACAGAGAGAGAAGGAGAGGCAGAGAGAGAGAGAGAAAAACAGAGGTCTTCCATCTGCTGGTTTACTCCCAAATTGGCCGCAATGGCCAGAGCTGCACTGATCCAAAGCCAGGAGCCAGGAGCTTCTTCCTGGTCTCCCACGTGAGTATAGGGGCCCTAGGTGTTGCACCATCTTCTACTGCTTTTCCAGGCCATAGCAGAGAGCTGGATTGGAAGTGGAGCAGCCAGGGCTCGAACTGGCACCCATATGGGATGCTGGCACTGCAGGCGGCAGCTTTATCCGGTAGGCTACTATGCCGGCTGCCTGTAACTTAACCTTACATTTTCACTTAAGTTTAGTTTCCTTTCACTTGTTCTCTCCCACAAGGGCAATTCATACTTTCATGTTGGTTTACTATAAAAAGACTTCATTTTCTTACATATTTAATAAACCACCACCACCACAAAATACTGAAAAGTCTACTAGTCCAGATAACTACATAATTAGAACTATGGCAAAGACAAATACATGAATAACCTTAGATAGGAGAAGTGCTTCCAAAAAGCAAAATGCTTCGATGATGGCAGCCAACTTCTCAAAATATGAAGAAAACCCCAGAAGACAGACAATCATAGCCAAATGCATTTTTCCTTAGAAGGGGAATCTATGGTTACTTATCTGGGTCCTTATTCGGCACCCAGTAAGGAGAAGTAATCTACATTCAGCTAGCCGAGTCACTAACCATAACTGACACTCTTCAATATGTACAAGCTCTGCCCCAGAAGTTATCCTGAGGGAGCTTGTGGGATGAAAATATCCATAGGCAGTTGGTAAGATGCGGGTGATTTACAGAAGCACTTCCTCTCGTGCTTCTTCTGAAGTCAGCACCTTTCACAGGGCAGAGGTAAGGAGTAGGGTCTGTGGAGGTAGATGACCTGGAACCACTAGGATCCCCAACTATTGTGTGACTGTGGTCATTTCAGTTACATTTGAGCCCCACCATTTTTTTCATCTATAAATTGAGAATACTAGTTCCTATCTCTTAATTTATTAGAAGGATTGGATTATTCACTATTTTCAAGGCATCAGTATGTATCTGGTACATAGTAAGCACTTTAAATAACTAAAATATTATGTATTTTATTTATTTATTTGAAAGGGAGATAGAAAGAGGGCGAGTGAGCTCATCTGATGATTTACCCCTCACCCACCCCCCAAATGCCACCAAGACTGAGGGCTGGAAAGTCTCTCCTGTGAGTTACAAGAACTCCATTACTAGAGCCATCACTTGCTGCCTCCTAGAGTGTGCATTAGCAGGGAGCTGGATTCAGAAGGAAATTGAGGACTGGAATCCAGACACTCAGATATGGGATGTGGGCATTCCAAACATTATTTAAAAAGTAAGTCTGAGCCGGCGTCGCGGCTCACTAGGCTAATCCTCCGCCTAGCGGCGCCGGCACACCAGGTTCTAGTCCCGGTTGGGGCGCCGGATTCTGTCCCGCTTGCCCCTCTTCCAGGCCAGCTCTCTGCTGTGGCCAGGGAGTGCAGTGGAGGATGGCCCAGGTGCTTGGGCCCTGCACCCCATGGGAGACCAGGAAAAGCACCTGGCTCCTGGCTCCTGCCACCGGATCAGCGCAGTGCGCCGGCCGCAGCGCACCGGCCGCGGCGGCCATTGGAGGGTGAACGAACGGCAAAGGAAGACCTTTCTCTCTGTCTCTCTCTCTCACTGTCCACTCTGCCTGTCAAAAAAAAAAAAAAAAGTAAGTCTGAAAGCTACATTACCTTGTAGACATTCACATGCATTTAATAAGCCATTGTGTGGTTCATTGCCATTGTTGTATGGGAATTTCTAGAAGGAGCAAAGGGCTACAAACCACTGACAGCTTCTCCCTCATTGGATCTCCTTTTAGGATATGTAACCAAGAATTTAGCTTGGTACCACCATGGGAATACAGATACAGGAACCACCAATCAACAGACAGAAACAAAAACAAGGACTCAGAATAAGATACTTTTGCTTCAAATTCCAGCACCTCTGTTTGTCACCTAATAGGAAAAGCCATTTATCTGCTCCTTTAATGAAAACACCTGCCAAGTCACAAATGTGTACATTTCACCAAGCATTCTATAACCCACCTAGAAGCCCATGGCAATCGGTGCCTAGGATCAAATGATGCAAGGCAGCAAAGTGGTCAACCACCATGAACAAATGAGGCTGGCTGTCTAGAACCCTCCTTCTAGGCAGTAACTTTCTCCTTGACCTCCCTGTTCCCATACACATGAAGAATTTCTCAACTTTTTCAAGTGTCTTCCCTCCATCTTGCTCAGCAAGCACAAAAGAGTTTTATGTGCTGACAACTCTGTCTTAATGCCTTCCATATAAAGTGATGTATGAGATCAACCTTTCAGGGTTGTTGTCTAAAAGTAATTTAAAAAAAAAAAAGACATAAAGCACCCAACATATCCTTGGCACTGGGCACCATGCATGTAAAATGAATGAAATAATCAAACAAAAGGTTTGAGTAAGGGGAAGCTCCGACTCCAGATTAAATGGATGTTTTATTACTGTAATTTGCTTTTTTATTGGTCCAGAGCACTGTAGTATTTGCTACATCTTCCCAAATAAAAGCTTCAGATTTTGTGTGTCTCAAATGCTTTGCGGTAATTGCACTCTACCTGGAAACACTGACAAATTGTGGCTTTCGGAAAGCAAGAATTTAAATACAGACTTCTTCCTTTAAAAAAATAAAGACCTATTTCAGATGTTAAAGTGCAATTAAAAAAATTTCCTCGTTTAAATGATTCCTACAAAATGATGTCAGATTATTCACTGCTGGAGTTTTACCAACAAGGTCTCTTTCTTCCTCTTCATAAGAATAAATCGTGTTTCTTTTACATCTTCTGTCATTACACCTGGTTTACAAGGCTGTAAAACCCAAAAATCACTATAGCCAAAAATAAGCTGCATCCGTGTTTCCAATTCATCGAGAAGCTGTTCTGCAATGCCTTTTCTGGCTAACCCTTTCTCCTCTTGTTAATGAAGATTTCTGGTTCCTGAAGTTTTATGTTGTCCAAATTAGTAGACATTTCTAAAAAATGAATGATGTTCTCATGACTTAGCAGCCATTTTCTGCCTTTATTATCAGTTTCTACTGCTGTCATTACAATTGGTTTTTGAATATTGTGATTTTAAATAGAATG